GGCTGGCATGTGGTGCTGGGGGATTGAACTGCGGTCCCTGATGCCTTGCCAAGCTTGTTCCAAGTAGGTGCCTTAGACCACTGAGCCATCTCTCCAGCCCGGTCCTGGGATTCTTTCAAGTTTCATTTGCCAATGAATACTTACCTGAGGCTGGCCATGAACCAGCGCTCCGGCACTGACGGTGGCAGAGCGGCAGAGGCGTCTCCCCAGGCACATGGGTGCTCTCTGAGCCCTTATCTGCAACACTGAGTCTGCCCCTCTGGACCAGGCCCAAGTCTCAGCGTCCAGCAGACCCACACACACGCCTATGCCCTTGCCACTGTGGGGCCGGGCTGCAGTTTCAGAGGCTGGATGCCTCTGGACTTGGGGTGCTAGTCTCTCCGCTGGGGCCCCACCGTGCCTTCCTATCCATACAGCTGTGCCTGGGCTTGAGGGAGGGCACTGACCCTTCCACACATGACAGCACAGGGCTGGTGGCCCGAGCAGAGTTGCAGAGCCCTGTGAAAAGAGGTTGTGGTGCGGGTTTGTGAGACACCAAAGGGGCTGTGCTGCCCCCACCCACGTTGGGGGCACAGGGGCCGATGCTACCCACACCGGCACTGCCAGGAACATTCCCAAACTTTCACCAGGCACACTTTTGGCACAAATGAAAATACCTTATTTGGCTTCAAACTTCTCCCCTGGCTGTTTCTGGGACCTCCCCACAACTTGCATCCCCCAACTGCTGCCACTTTCACCCGGAGGTTGTCCTAGTGTTATAAGATTTGATAGGTGTTTCATGCCCTTGTACTCCTCCTGCAGAGGCACACAGCAGCAGTGTGCGAGAGAAAGGGAGCCAACCAAGGAAACCAAGGGAGGCCTCAGTCCAGAACTCAGCAGAGCCAGGAGGGGACAGCTGCAAGCACAGCCCGGAGGCAGAGCCCCAGGGAAAAGCACCTCACCACAGCCCTTGGCCCCAGGAGCTGCCCAGGCCTGTGTACACAGGAGCCCCAGGAGGCAGGACAGGTGTCAGGGGCCTACTTCTGGCAGGGAGCGGGGACCTGGGCCCCACAGCTACCCCATGGCACCCCGCACTCCTAGGGGCCACAGACACGGGCGTGTCATCCCGCCCTCTCCACACCTCTCCTCACGTCAGTGCGGTGAACAGCGACACTCGCCTTACATTCCGCAGCCCGTGCTGTTCTCCGCTGGCACTGTATTTCCTCCCTAAGTGCTAGGAAAGTCTGAACAGCTTCCCATTCCCAGACTTTTCCACAGGGAAGAGAGAAAAAGGTCACTGTAAACAACTCAAATCCAGCATGGTAAACAAAAAGTAGGCTGCTCCACTTTAACCAAAATTAAAAGGAACCCACAACAAAGCTGGTGTTAGACACAAACCAGCAAGGAGCTACATGAACTTGCCCAGAGGCGGCCTCAGCTACCAACACAGGGTGCCACCACACCACCATGGAGAGCCAGGAAAGGGGCCTTGGAAGCAACCACTGTCACACCACAGGACATCCGTGATGAGCTATACAGCAGCAACGACCTGCCATCCAGGCCAAGCTGTGTCAGCACCTACAAAGCAGCAAATGCAAGGCAAACGGCGTCACTCAGAAGCAACATGAGTGAGTGGTACCAAACATGTCCACATCGGACGTGGTCATCCTAACACAACCCGTGCCACAGGAAGCAACTTATACAGCCCACTATGGGGAGTCCTGGAGCACCCAGAATGGCCATACAATGACCGTCCTCTCGCCAGTCCTCGCTTCCCCTTGGTATCCTGCTGTGTCACGGCGAGGCTGAACCCTACAACTGCAGTCTCCCCTCTGACTCTTGGTGGCACTGGGTGAATGCAGGCTAATCCCTGTGTCACTGTGGGGCTGCTCCTCCCCAATTCGGAGGTGAAGGTGCCAATATGCATCAGCTTTTGTGGGCAGCAACTATGTCCTCTCTCCTAGATAGCCACAGCCCCCAGGACCCCAAGGAAAGAGCTACTAACGGCTCCACGCCTGGGTGCTGGGACCAAATCCCCCATGACTGCCCTTTCCCCTCAGCCCTTCCCAGGCCCTTGCAAAACCTCCCCTCAGTAAAGGCTCAGCTGGAGACATCTTGGAGCAGGATTCCATGGCCCGCCAGGAGGAACACGGCTGAAAGACAACGTTGGCAACAACGCACCAGCATGGGGATGAGCACAACAGAGAGGAGATCACAATACATGCACCGCTGACGTTCCGGTGGTGGAAGGGCTGTGTTTTTCTTCATGTTTCCTTAGTTCTCCAATGTTCTGTAACATTAGGTTATGTATTTGGGGGCTATAAAAAGAATCCATAGAAATAAAACAGAACAGGAATAAATATGGCCTTCAGAGTCACCTGCACTTGCCACCCTCCCTCCAACTCCCACATCACTACAACCACGACGAGAGCCTTGGGTGTCCTCAGGGCCCTGCCGTCTTGCCTGGTTCTGTGATCTGCAGCAGCAGCGGTGAACCTAAGGCACGGCCTAGGGGCCACTGTGGGCGGTGGGCGGGTGGGCAGCCCTCTCCATCCGCACAAGAACCAAGCTGCCCCAGCGCCAGCCCAGCTCTTGTTCCTGCACCACAACCTCAGGGTCAGTCTTCATCACACTGCCGGCACTGTGTGGGAAGTCCGTGGCTGGGGGCAGCCTGGGCGCTAGGCCCAGAAGGCTGCAGATCGCTGCCCTGCAGGAATACGTCTGGCATCACGCATTCCCAGCTTTCACGGCAGCCACCCACATTTGGGAGTTGGCGTGTTTCACAAGCAGACATCAACACCCCGCTGTGTGCATGGACAGTGACCCACAGTTTCTGAGAGCACGGCTCTGGGCCTAGACCCTGCTCTCAGCCTTAGGGCTCTGGCTGCTGCGGTCCTCCCCAGAAAGAGGAGCAGGCCTGTTCCACAGACACACTCTACACAGAGGAGCCTGGGCTCATGCCAGGCCCCAGGGCAACCTCAAGCTCCAGCGCCGGCTTCATCCACTGTATGCAGCTGCCAGCCAGAACCCCAAACTGTCTGCCTTTGCTAAGGCCAGGTATACTGTACAGTCTCCCACATGTCCCTCTCAGAGACGCTGTGCCTCTTGAAGACAACAGTGGCCACCGCCTTGCCTGCCTGGCCTGGGAAGACAGACACGAAGGCCATCAGAGCTGCAAGCTGAGGTGCCGACACGAGACCTGGAGAACTCAGGCACACTGACCGTCATGAACACCTCACAGCCAAGGCAAAGCACAGAACAATTATTTTAGTTGAGTGTGGCTCTAAACTCTGACAGTAGAAACTACGTGGTATGGTGATAGTGTCCAATATCAAACCACACAGACTGATCAATAGCTCACAAGGTTCCCAGGGAAATGGCCGTGTGGCAAAGCCGACTCTCACTCCCGAGTTGCCACCCCCAGTTTGCTTTGGTCTCATTTTCTGAAATGTGTCACTGTTAATCTTTACTCACACAGTGAAACTTTTCCAGAGTCCTTTCAAGCACAACCAGAAGTTCTAAGGAGCCACTCTGCTTTCAGTTTCCCTGACTCAACTTTCCAGAGTTTTATAATTAATTATATTCCATTATTACTGATCACCAATTAGCTCACAATGTTGCTGAGATGGTGAGTATGATAAAGAAGGTGGAATGCAATGATAATTTGAGACCGGAAAGACACTAAATTTCTCTCATTAATAATTAAAGTAGACAACTTCTGTTTTTATTTATACTTTCAGAAATGTCCGGTCCGTTCCTATGCACTGCCCCGCCAGCCCATCAGCAGGGCAGGATCCGAGCCGGCCCTGCTCTCCTCTGCGCGTGAGCGCAGCACCCCCAGGGCTGGGCCCAGGGCTGCCAGGCCTCAGGCCCCTCTGCTGGCCAAATGCTTGTCCATCACCAGTACAGAAAGGACAGAATCCAGAGAAATTCTGGCTCACCTGTTTCAATTTCCCAGATGTAGGCAGAGTCATCAGCACACCCAACAATCAGAAAGTTCTCCACCGGGTGCCACTTGATGGTAGTCACAGGGAAAAGGTGCTTCCGGGCCCGCAGGAGGGGCCTCTTCTGCTCCAGGTGCAGGAGGGCCACCGAGTGGTCGCTGCACACGCAGCACACCATCTGGTCATCCTTCAGCTGGGAGACAGGAACACTGGCATAAGTAAGTAGCTGAGTGCTTTCTCTGGGACTGAATCAGATGCCTTCCCTCTGCAACATACAGCACTTTCTTACAGCCCTGTGTACCAAAGTGCACTTCTGCTTTCAGCAGTGTGGCTGCCCATAGCCCTCTATAGAGGAGCTTCAGGTGTGGGGCAGAGCTCAAACTCAACCATTCCACAGGAAAGTCACAAGGGGCAAGGAAAGGAGCCAGGCCTCTTCGAAAGCTGAGGGAAGGACATGAGCACCACCCAGCAAACTCAGGCAGCCAGGAGGCAGACACTGGAAACAGCACAGAATAAAATAAATCCCAGGACAAATTTGCAGCCACAAGATGAAGCTATTTGTAGACACAAACTGAGGCCCAAGGGTATCAGAGCTGAGAGTTTCCACTTAAAGCCTCAGGATGTGATTTGGTACAGTTCCCAGAACTGTGTGATTCTAATCCAAAAAGGAAGCTCGGTATAGATGCAATCTAAAAAAGGTGAGCATTAGATAACACCATCTGAAGACAGTCTCAAAGACACAGGGCCAAAAGTATTGTCAGAGGACCCCATTATTTAAGACACTGTGAAAAGTCAGCTTGTGTGCACCCTGACCACAGGTTAGGGTATGGCCAGGATATGGCCACACACGTGGAGGTTAGAGACACCCCCAGAGGCTGCCACATGGAAAGCACTGCTGGGCTTTTCTGAGCCTCTCCTGGGGCCCACGTTAGCCTCCATGGGGCTCTGAGAAACATGTTTTCTTTCTCCTTTCTTTTCAAAAGACTACAGAAACCCTGAGATGACATACTTAAATATGGTGAGGGGAATACGCACGTGGCCTGGACTTGCAAAGCAGACCCAAAGCCACTTCTCCCAGTCACCCCAGGCTTTTGGAGAACCAGCCATCCCACACCTCCAGGAACGTGTACGCACACACGCATGCACACTCTGCCCGAGCAAGCCGCTCCAGGCAGCTGGAAGAGACTCTTAGAATGAAGCGAGAGAAGGGAGGGATCGCAGAGGAGCATCCTCTTGCGGCAGCGGGCCCTCAGCTTCTGGGCTCTTCTCCAAGTGCTCTGTTGTCCCCAGTGTCACCGGCACTGCTGCGCTACCTTGCCAGTAATAGCCCTGTGTGGGAGCTGGTGTGGATGAACCTCACCCAGTGTTAAATCATCTGTGACTTCAGGGACTAAGGGGGCAGAAGGGACATGTGATGGACACCTGCCCTGCAGCTGAAGGGAAAACGACGACTAGAGCGACAGAGGGAGAAGGTGGCGGCCCTCCAGAAGCAGAGCTGCGGTGAGGTATCCACGGCACCGAGGGGACGCTCTGCTTGGCGCACTCACGTCAGTCTCAGGGGTTTTGTTTAATCATATGTGTTGCTAAAATATCGCATCCCATGTCTTAAATTGTCTCCACGTTTAACTTAGAGCTGATTTTTCATAATAATGTGGATAAATAACATTACAAACCAATCAACTATTCTATAAAATCATTTGAATGACTCTGTGCTTATCTTACATAGGAAATGTAAAAGTTGACTGCTCATACTGAACAAAGGCTTCAGTTTACTACAGGCAGAATTCAAGTTGACATTTCATGAGAAAATTACACCCAGACTAATTTCATTTTATCTAACACGAAGTAGGTAACCACAAATTTGTTGATGCTCAATAAATATTTAAAGAAATAAGCAAGTAAAAATTCATGGAAAAACAATGTAACTGTTTATCAGTACTATAAAATTTTTGAAGGCACAAATTAATTTCTAATTACTAGATTCTTACATTGTTTGACTTGTTTTTGCATTATCTATTTTATTTCTAAGACATTACTACAGAAAATTAGAAGAAAAAAGTGCAAATACTTGGAAAGATTATCTACTGTAAAGTTGTTAGGGATTAACCATTTTCTTTAGAACCAAGTTATTTGTGTAAGTAAGAATAAAGTTAACCTGGGCTGGCCAAATAGCTCAGCGGATTAAAGCACCTGCTTAGGCAGACGCAGCAGCGGGGGTTCAATCCAGGGTGCGCTGAAAGGGCAACTGAGACTTGGTGTGTTGGCACACACCTGTAATCACAGCTCTTGGGAGGCTGAAGACAAGTGAATCACTACGAGTTTAATCTACGTAATGAGATCCTGCAGACCCTGTACTTAAAAAAATAATAGTAATACTAAAGTTAACCTAAAAGGTTAGAAATGAAGGTGAAAAGAGTCATTAGTTACAGAACGGATACGTGGAACTTTGTTTCCACTGAGAATATGGCCATTTTTCCTGTGTTTGAAAATACCATGCAATGTTACACAGCTCTCAAATTATGTTTTTTTTTTTTTCTATGTTTTTTTTTTTTTCTTTTTAACTTACATGCCCTGAGTTTCTTGAATTTTCTTTTGGATCTTCATTACTATAACAGTAATTTTAATTTTTAGAACTTCACCTAATTATTCCTTTTAAAAATAGCTTGAATTTTCCTAACAATGCAACATCTGTTGAATCTTAGAAAAGAATAAGGTTTTTACTTTCCTCTGCTATGACA